GCACGGGGGGGGGGAAGGCACGGAGGTGACCTGACGGAGGGTGCTCTGTGTGCACCCCGCACCGCGGGGCATGTGTGCAGCACGGGGAGGGGGAAGGCACGGAGGTGACCTGATGGAGGGTGCTTTGTGCACACCCCACACCGCGGGGCATGTGTGCAGCACGGGGGGGGGGGGAAGGCACGGAGGTGACCTGACGGAGGGTGCTCTGTGTGTACACCCCGCACCGCGGGGCATGTGTGCTGCATGGGGTGGGGGGGAAGGCACGGAGGTGACCTGACGGAGGGTGCTCTGTGTGTACACCCCGCACCGCGGGGCATGTGTGCTGCACGGGGGGGGGGCACGGAGGTGACCTGACGGAGGGTGCTCTGTGTGTACACCCCGCACCGCGGGGCATGTGTGCAGCAGGCCCTGTGCCCCACAGCTGCAGTGCAGGCCTGGGGGCCGGCAGATTCTCCCGCACCTTGTGCACCACACTTAAGGAGGCCTACAGGGTAGGAGGTGAGCTGCCAGCTCCTCACACAGGTGGCCAGACCATCAGGATGCCACTTTATTCTGTAACAGAGTTGTACATCGCATTTGCAGACAGCTGCGCACAGGCAGGAACCAACTGAAGAGCAGAGATCGGCAGCGCAGGACAGGACGGTGCTCACCTTCCGTGCGCCAATGGCCCTGGGGCTGCAGAGCCTGCAGGAAGCATTGAGTCATGAAAAGAACTTTGAAATGAATTCTGCACTGCTGAAGAAAATGAGTGTGCAACCATCCAACAAGGAAAAGGAGTTTGGGGAAAGTGGCCATTAGTTTTTGTTTTGTTTTGTGTTGGTTGTGGGGCTTGAACTCTGGGCCTGGGCGCGGTCCCTGAGCTCTTCAGCTCAAGGCGAGCGCTCTACCACTTGAGCCACAACGTTACTTCCGGCTTTCCAGTGGTTTACTGGAGGTAAGAGTCTCACAGACTTTCCTGCCCAGGCTATTAGTTTTAAAAGTTCAAATGTCAGGTTGGTTCTTTCAGAGCCTGACTGGTGAACTAGCTTTAGGGCCATGCTGCAGGGGAGAGGGTGTCGCGGGCCTCCCCACCTGGTGGAGGGAGGTGGAAGTTCCGTGTGTGCCCCACAAACATCCCCGCGTTCATGAAGTCGGGAGGCTGCAGTCCCCTGCTCCCCTACCTGTGCACTGCCTCTGCAGCAGGCCCGAGATGCTGATGGGAGGCCTGGGGGGCGGGGGCCAGGCGCCGCCCAGGCTGGGCGTGGCCCCGGGACGAGCTCTGCCCGGCACCTGCGATGCTGGCGCTGGCCTCCTGGAGGTCATCGGCATCTGCTGTGGCAGGACCCTGTAGCAAATCAACAAAAAGCAGTCTGCTGGCTCAGAAGCATATTCTGAGCTCCCCGGATGAGGGAGGCCTGATTGGCTCTGGGGCTGGTGGCATGGCCTGGCGCCTGTCTGGCGGCTCCTCTGAGGAGGCCTGCTCCAGGCAGAGGCCCCGTGCCCCGCACCTCCACGCCCCACCAGGCATACAGGTCGCGACCTCTCCAAAGCAGCCTACTCGCCATGGTGAGGGGGCTATGCCAGCTGCCCCAGAGTCCTTCCTTTGCAGGTCCACACTAAGAAGCTGAGTGGAAGACCAGGGAGCCAGGTCTCCGTGGCCAGACCTGCCCTGTCACCACACCAGCTTCCACGGCACCCCTCCGCACCGCTGACGGTTCTGTGAGTCCAGCACCTCCTTCCCATGGCACACCTGCTCCTTCACGCCAAGCTGCAGCTCACTGCGCCGGTTCTGCACCACACCCTGAAGGTTCCAAGTGCTCACGGAACACTTAGCATCCCTCGCCTTCGGTGATGAGCCCCAAGTCAGGTGACCCAGACGCAGGCTGCGGGCTCCCCTCAGGGCCGTGTCACCAGCTGGCTTTTCTGTCCTCATGATCTAGGCTTTTCCTGGATGTTCTAGTGACTGGACCTCACAGGTCCTGCGGGGCATTTAATTCCTGGAGAGCACAATAGCTCCCCGGTGGATATAGCTTTCACAGCTCTATTTAAGCTGCACAGGGCCGGCATGACTCCTGCGGTGGCACATCTGGGTGGCGTTGCCCACGCTGGCCTGCTCTGCCCTGGGGCCACAGAAAGCACGTGGGGTCAGGTGCTTCTGTCTGCTCTGCCTTTGGGAAGGAAGCCACCTTCTTCTCTTTGGAGGCAGCTGCCTCTGCTGTTATCTACCAAAGCTGGCATTCAGACAGCTTTATGTTCAGCCAGCACGTACCTGCCTGCCAAGTCCTCTGCTGAACCCCGCACAGGCATCCACATGATCCAGGGGGAGAGAAGATGAGTACTAGCGGAGCAGGCAGCTAAAACTGCAGGGGGAGTGGACTCCCTGGAAGAAGGGGCCAAGTCCCAGGTTGTGTGAACCAAAGAAGGAGGGGCGAGTCCCTGGGGTCCACAGGCACCAAAGAAGGGGGGCCTCAGTCCCTCGAGGAGGGCTGGCGGGGCTTCTTGTCATGGGAGCCAGCATGATGGCCCAGAGCTCCCAGGCATGGGTGGCCGTGTGCACAAACCACCCCGACAGTGGGGCTGGCAGGTCAGACGGGGAGCAGCAAAGGTGGCCTGACTATCGCCACTGTCTAGGAAATGTGTCGACAGGGCAGGTGAATGTCCAACCTCTCAGTACTCAGATAAAGAGCTCTGTACACAGCGTCCAGCGTGTGCCCACCTGTGCCAGGAGGGGGTGCGTGCCTGCCGCCTGCGTCTGTGAAGGGTTCATGGGGATGCATGCACCCCTGATTTTGTCCATACCACCTTCCACCGTTGTCTTAATACAAGAGCAGAGCTGAGTAGCTCAAAGAGCCAATATTCATTTCCTACCATTCTCAGCAAACATTCTAGCCTTGACCTCCTAAAACTAGCCTGGCCTACTGCCCTGAGGAAATACTGGGCAACCACGTAGTGGTTCTTGGGAGTTTCTGGTAACAGGATACATGACTAAGTCATAGCTTTTAGCAAAATTTAAAGTGGAACATACGATATAACCTTAATATATATATACACATACATACATATATATGTGTGTGTGTATATATATACATATATATATATAATATATACATATAAAAAAATATATATATATATATTTATCGGCTGTGGGGCTTGAACTCTGGGCCTGGGCGCTGTCCCTGATCTCTTCAGCTCAAGGCGAGCACTCTACCACTTGGGCCACAGCGCCACTTCTGGTTTTCTGGTGGTTCATTGGAGCTAAGAGTCTCACAGACTTTCCTGCCTGGGATGGCTCTGAACCACGATCCTCAGATCTCAGCCTCCTGAGTAGCTAGGATTATAGCATGGGCCACCAGCACCCAGCCATATAACCTTTCTTAAGACTTAGAAGGCAAAATACCAACTTAAATAACAAAGGTTAAGTTTTGTTTTTTGGGTCCGGTCGTGGGGCCTGAACTCTGGGCCTGGGCGCTGTCCCTCAGCTCTTCAGCTCAAGGCTAGCGCTCTACCACTTGAG